CACGTAAACAAATAAACAGCCACGAGCTTGACCCAAAACAGAGATGCAAACACACCACAAAGTACCCGGGGACCAGGGGAGGCTTCCCGGAGGTGAGAAAATCTGAACTGAATTTTCAAAGAGGAACAAGAGTTTCCAGATGCCTTATGAATGGGGAAGGGAAGGAAAAACAGGGTGTAAATTTTGAGAAGCATTTCAGAAAGCGGAGAAGCGAGGACGGCCGTTAGGTGAGAGCACATCGCAAGGGTGGGGAAGGCTGTGCAAACAGGACGTGTGTCCTGGAGCGTGAGGACCAGGCTGGTGGCGCAGGGAACAACAAGGGATGACCACCTGCGGGACGCTGGGCACAGCAGAGTTCAAGGAGCCCCACCCACTGGTTCAACTTGAAATATAAACATACACCCAGGAAGGAAAAAAACTATGTATGTATATATACACAAATACAGCATATATGCCGCTCTGGGTGGGCACTTCAAACAATGTTTGTTCCAGGAGAAGTTTCAATGGGAATGACTTTAAGAATTTCAGAGGGGAAGGTATAGCTCAGTGGTAGAGCGCATGCTTAGCAAGCACTAGGTCCTGGGTTCTATCCCCAGTACCTCCATTAAAAAAAAAAAAGTGGGGGGGAAACAATAAAAAAATAATAAATCTTAAAAAAAAATCAAATACAACTGAGCTTTCCTGTTTCACCTTGGACTCCTATTCCTAGTACAATGACTGTAGGTACACAAATGTGGGAGAGGTGGATCTCAGGTGGACCCAGGTGAGGAATCTCCTTCCAGGAGCAGGCGTGACCTTCAGGCCTGGGAATTCTTTAAACAGCCCCCACTGGGTTCCAAGGCAGCAACCTGCCCTATTCCTTTAGAACTACTGGGCCATTGGTCCGACACTTTTCAAAGCGATACATAGTAGCAAAAACCCTTCAACAGCTGTGTGAAGGGAGCTACAAAGAAATGTCCCTTAAGGCAGGAGGGAAGAGTGAATTCTCAGAAAGTCAAACCTCCTCGTGGCAGTGGCACATGCAATATGACATGACTCTGTGCACAAGCCATTTGGAAATTAATCATGTATCACCCGTTCTCATCTCAACCACTTGTTAAATCTTTTGTCATCTAACTGTTCACGTGATGCTTTGTCTCAGGACCAGCGCTAAGCATCCCGGGGCTGACTCCACCTGGGAAGGCCCGCACCACCCCTCACTTACGCTCCTTGCCCAGGAAGAAGGAGTAGAAGCAGAGGTGGTTGGTGCTGAGGTACAGCCAGCCCTGGCGGGGCACCCGGCCCTTCCAGCAGCAGCAGGAATAGTAGGTGACCAGCTTCTCGGCCTCCGGGAAGTTGAACCTGGCCTCGAACTTCACCAGGGCCTCGCGGAACTTCTCGGGCTCCTCCTCCTGTTCGGCCAGCCTGCTGCTCGTCTCCTCGGCAATGAGAGCCTGGTGCACAGAGAATGGTCCCCGGTCGGGAGAGCACGCGGGATGGGTGGGGACTGCTCGTACCATGGTCCACCACCCAGAACCAGGCCCCGGGGCAGATGGGAGCTGGGGGACTCTTAGAACCTGTCTCTTGGCCACTCACCAACCAGGAGGCTCTGTGTGAATCTTAAGCCCCGGTTCTCCAACAAATCACTGTTCTAAATCCCTCCCGCTCTTCCCTCCAGAGATATGAAGGAAAAATGATGGTCTCAGGAGTGGTGAACTCAATGCATCAACCCTGAAGAACTACTACGCTGGAGTTAAAGCTGGTCTTTTTAAAGAAAAACCATTAACATCTTCTTCACTGGGTTCAAAACTTTGGGTGTGAAGCCAACAACCGCCCGATTCTGTGACCCCTGGTCCATTTCACCACAAGATGCCCTCTGGTCCTCGAAGGTGGAAAAGGAACAGTCTGGCCGAGGACTCTGAGGGTGTAAATTCCTCCAAAGCACTGGGGTACACGGGGCAGCGAGGCGGGAAACAAGAATCTGAATCTACAATCGTTCTGCTGACAATAGTAAGGATGCTTTCTACACCTGGGGTGAGGTGGTCAAAGGGCCCAGGATGTCAGCTTGCGGCCTGTCTCTAAGGGTGACAAGGCACTGACAACATCAGAACTCCGACTCCCCACTCCTGACAGCTCACTGCACGCATTTTCACCGAGAATTTGCTCTGTTGGAGAACTCCAAGTCCCCGGGCATCACATATGCTACTGGATTTTTAAAATATACTTGTAAATCTGTATTTTTATTAGCCTTCCCCTTCCTTTCTATTCGTGTAAGGATGTTTCATGAAAGGCTGTGAAAGGCTAAAACAAGGCCGCTCGCAGGAGATTGCTACCCGAGCCTGCATGGCTGCACAAGCGATTTTTGCAAATATCCTGGGCTTTACCATTAAAACAAAATGGAATTCAAAATCAGTTAAAAAAACAAATCTGAAGGCTGGTGAAATTTCAAGTGATTTTCATTTTCCTCCTGATGTTTTTCTTTGTTTTCCAACTTGTATTTAACAACACATTATAAAAGTTATCATTAGGAAAGACGAATTTTTTTCTATTCTTTCCTCCTCCTGAAAGTGGAACGTGCTAGGTGCAAGAAAATAAAGAGTGACGAGATGTCACAGCTGCAAAAAAGTTGGGAAAAAACTAATTTCAAGAGTCAAATAACATTGCTGCTATGCAGAACATGAATCTTAACATTCTATTTTCTTTTTCCTGAGATAAAAAAGGACCTTCACTTGTGTAAAGGATAACAAAACCTTAGGCCTGAGAATGAAGGTTGGTTGGTTGTTTTTAATTTCAGGTGAATTTTGTCAGACTGACTCTGCAAAATTTGACGGGTGGCAAGTTGAACTCATTTGGCTTTCGACATTAAGGCAAGAACTTCAGCCAATGTTCAAGAAAAAGGAGTATGATAAAAATGCTGCTGTGAATGTTAACCACAATATATAAAAATAAATTTTTTAAAAGTTTCTCCCGTATAGCACAGGGAACTATGTTCAATATCTTATAATAGCCTTTAATGAAAAAGAACATGAAAATGAATATATGTATGTATATGCGTGGCTGGGACACTGTGCTGTATACCGGAAACTGACACACTATAACTGACTAGACTTCAATTTTTTTAAGTGTTCAAAATATTATATGCAAGTTATAAGAAAGATGGGGAAGGGGGAGAAACATCACAATCACGAGACCTACCTTCACCTTCCCTTTGACAAAGCTGGCAATGTCGTCTTTGTTATCAAAGACGGACAAGGTGTGGAGGAGATTTTGCTCCAGCCAGTCCCAATGCTGGTTTATTTCCTCCAACGTGGCACCTGGATCAGAAAAGAAAAGGATGCAGAGATTAAAAGACAAAAGCAATTCCTAGAATATGAACTCACTTTCCAAGCACAAATCCTGTGTGTTCACATTATTAAGATATTCCAGTGTCTTACGTCCTGGGACCCAGGTTGCCGGCGGACGAGGGAGTCACCCTCCACTGGGGCGTGGTCCCCTCACCACAGCACCGGGTCCCACTGCCACACGGATGGGCCAGCCGGTCAGTCGAGTCATCCCTGGGGCTGCTCCGTGGGCATCCTGCCAGCCTCGCTCATGCGCGGAATCCCCAACACCTCCACCCCAGTGACAGAAACATCTAGAATTACACAGCTATCCCAGGGAAACAAGCCCCAAGGTGACTGACTCTCAGACAACCTCGCAGAATTTCCCTGAGAACACAGTCCCTCGAGAGGGCCCTCAGCCCAGGTTCACAGAGAGAAGAGCCTCTTGGGACGGCTCTGCTGGTGGCCCGGGGGCGCTGCCACTAGGAAATTTCCAGGTTTACAAACTGTACTTCATGTCCTTTACAGCAAAATCCCTTAAAACAAAATCCCTTAAAAACATACATTAAAAGATATTTTATTGCACATGTTAAAACCACAAAAACATCCAAATGCTGTCTAGTAAATTAATTTCTTGCAGAGGCAACTGAAAAAGCAATCAGTCTATTACTAAAGCATTAAGCAACACTGTTACCAAAAAGCTTAGGTGTCTCCAAGTCTTTATTTCCTCTCAAGGAACTTCTCCATCCTCCCCAGTGGACAGCTAGCACCTTGGATGGGGGCCGGGCCAGAGGTCCGATCAAGACCACGACTTCTAGACAAGAAGGGGCAAGTGTGCATCAGGTCTGCGCGCCTGGCCGGGAGGACCAGCTTTCCAACAGGGAAGCGGGAGATACTCCAACCTCAAAGGAAGGGCTCCTGATAAACAGCCATCCAGAATCATAGAGCTGATGTAAGAGGCGTAATGATCAACAGAGCCACACCCCACATGCACAGGAGCCAGATACGCATCGTGCGAACCCTAGCCTTTTTCTCTGTCATCTCAGCCTTCCTCGCTCCAAAGTCGGAACGCGTGTGAGAATCTGTACCCTTTGCATAAAAACGCCAGAGAACTCACCCCGGACCCGTGGACCTGGGGTCACTAAGGACAGAGGCCGTCTGTACAAGGGCCGTTGTTCTAAGGGGCAGTCTGGGAAGGAGCAATGGAAGACTCTGAGAGTCCACTTCATAAGGAAAAATGAGAATTTAAAATAATGGTGTTTATTTCCCTGTGTTCTCCAATCTTTAGGCATGTCACTGCCAACGCGACATCCTTTGGTCATCACTAACGCAGCCTCCTCGTCTCGGGAGGGCTCCGTGGCTTAGACAACAGACTTGACGTCTCATAGTTCTGGAGGCTGGGAGGCCCACATCAAGGGACTGGCAAATTCAGTTCCTGGCGAGGAAGGACCCTTCCTGGCTTGGAAGCGGCCACCTTCTCCCTGTGTCCCCACAAGGCAGAGAGTGAGTCCTGGTCTGTCTCCCCTTCCTATAAAGGCACTAATCTCATCAAGGGGGCCCCACCCTCATGACTTCATCTAAACTGCACCACCTTCCAAAGGTCCCACCTCCAAATACCATTGGGGGTTAGGGCTGCAACATTTGAATCAGGGGTATAAAATAAAATCCATCTTTTGTGGCATGACAAGAAAAATTTAAACGTAAAAAATTCTCTGCCCTCTGTCCTCCTCTCCCTCCACCGTGCATCGTGTATGTGCCCTAGGGCATCCACCAAGCGCCCCCGCCCATCGGCAGGAACACCTGCTCCACCAGGAGCAGCGTTCTTCTAGTTCCAGCACAGCAACTCCTTAAAAGGTAACATTCCTTCTTCATTTTATGAAGGGTCCCAATACCCACCAGGATGAGACTGAGCTCTGGACGATGCAACTGTCAATAATATGTCATTTGGCGTCTAGCCCTCTGTCTCAGACAGCTTATAAACCTGTGCTTTGATTTCTAACCAGCAGAACAGTTCTGAGCTTTCTGAGACGCTCTTCCCGGGTTACCATCCTCACATTTCGCTCGAATAAAATTCCATTTCTTTCTTAGATCAACAGATTAATTTTTCGTCTACAGGGGTTTGGGGGGACACCAGTCAGTCCGTCACAACCAGTTCACAACCAGTGACCCTGCCCAGCTGTCCATCAGTCTCACCTCCCTCCCCACCTCCCCCGTCTTTCCCTTCCAGGATCATAAACCCAAGCAACAGCCCTCTTGGGGTTTAGCAGAGCCAGCTCCGAGCCGAGTGCTCATGATCCCTACCTCCCATCTGGAAGGCCCCTGCGGTCTCGGGAAACCCCTGGCCCTTCAGGCTCCCTCTTATGAGGGACAAGATTATTTGGAAGCAAACACCTCAAACCAAACATGTCCAGACTCCACAGCAGGACTCCTGAAGCCTCCGAGCACCATTCACCTGAACTCAGGACCCGTGTGGCCTGCCTGGCTCCTCGCGTCCAGTGCTGACATGGCTTCGGTGGACGACATCTAAGTCACCTGCCTCTGGCTTAAATCTCCCTGCCTGGTCCGTATCTTCAAGTGGCAGCTACGTAGGCGTCAGTCCCCAGAACATCCCTGAAATCTGGTGGCTCAGTGCCGGTGTCTGGGTGGCGGGGGGACAGCACATCACACAGTTCATCTCAGGAGACAGTCTCTGGGCCCCTGAAGCCAATGAACCCCATGGGGCTGCCAGCCCTCTGCTCTTCTCTGGCACTTTAAGGTTCTCTCTTTCTAGATCTTTATCCTTTATTATCCACCATAATAAAACCAACTGGTCAGATTATTTTTTTTAAAAAAGGCAAGGAATACATGGAAACATGGGTATCCGTATCAGCCTTCAATTTTCCACCATACGTTTTCACGAACTTCCTAGTTTGCCAAAAACAAGCAAGCAAACAAGCAAAGAGAGACTCGGAGGACTGAGGAGGAAGAGAGAGGGAGGGGATGACTCAGAGGCCTTTCTGTGCCAGGCTCAGCCTCCCTGATGTGGAATGAGGGCTGGGTGGGGAAGGGGGGCTCAGATACTTCTCCAAGTCATGTGTCTCCAAGGAAAGGCAAACCAGGGTGTAAGGTCATTCTCCACATCCTTGAGGTGCCCTGGGGTCCTCCCATAAGAAGCTGAATTTCTTTTTCAGTAACAATCACATACTCCTTAGGTCCAGGATTTCCTATGGCCTGACCTTAAAACATCTACTCAGCTTCACGTGGAGTGAGCTCTCTAACCCCGAATCCCATTTTCCTGAGTGTATCTGCCTGGATGACATGAAACAGACCTTCACATACCCTGTTCCTGAGCTCACAAGTTAGCCATCAAGCCACGTGTGTCTTCCTCACCTGGTAACCACAGACGCCGTAAATAAACTTACAACTGAACCTCTCGGGTGGAATTAAGATTTGAGACCACATCATCAAAACAATTAAACTAGGGGAGAGAGTATAGCTCAAGGGGTAGAGTGCTTGCTTAGCATGCATGAGGTCCTGGGTTCAATCCCCAGTACCTCCTCAAAAAACAAATAAACCTAGTTACCTCCCCCCACCAAAATAAAATAATTATATAATAAATTTTTAAAAACATAGAGCTATTTTAAAAAAAGAAACTTTTATTAAAAAATTTTAAACTTTGATTCCTTAAAAAAATTCTTCTACCTGGTGAGGAGGTGGAGGTGGAGGATTAAAAGTATAAACTGTTAGGTATAAAATAAGCTACAAGGATATACTGTGCAACACAGGGAATAGAGCCAACATTTTATAATAACTATAAATGGAGTATAACCTTTAAAAACTGAATCACTATATTGTAAACCAGTAGCTTATATAATATTGCACAGCAACTATACTTCAATAAAAAGAAGAAAAGAAAATTCTTCTGACTACTGGGGAGGAGCCTTATAATAGGGGAAAATCATTCTAGAACAAAACTAAGCTCAGGCCTTGAGAGAGAAAATAACCACACATGTAACATCCATCACTGAGCCACAGTCAGTGGCAGGCGCAGTGACAGCCGTCACCCTGTGCTCAGTCTGACGACAGCTGTGCGCGCGCCTCTCCCAGCAAAGACAATCGCCACCGTGGGACTTTCCAACTTGACTGTCTTTCTTGACAGTCTTGACGTCAGACCTGATGAAAGCTGCCAAAAGGCAGGGAAATCCTCCCCACTATTAATTTCCTCCACAGGGAAGTCTTACGATGGCTTCAAAACTCCTGCACATCAGGGCAAGCTGATGGCACCGCCCTGATCTCAGCGGACCAGAAAGGAAAGCCACTTCACATATATCGCACGTCAAAGCCTGAACCCACACAGTGGCTGTGTTTTTCAGCAACCTGAAGTAGCCCATCAGAAAATAGCTTGTTTTTTCAAACAAGCTATTAAAATAGCTGTTTTTTGAAATAGAAAACAGGACACATGCCACTCTAGAAAGGGCAACTAGTGACTTGTGAAATATTTGTTGGCGTTATGCCCACACACAAATATATTTCTATCTGGAGGTCATGGCTCAAAAAGTTTGAAAGCTAGCACATTACAGACATATAAGTGATGGGAAATGTTAAGAAGGAAAAATAAGAAAGTGAGAATTTGTTGGCCATTGATGGGACAGAATGATTAAAAGGCTACAAATTGACTCAGCAAGAGTCAATTGACTATAGCAAGACACCCACTGCTCCTGCTCTGGACCTTACAAAGCCAAGCCGGAGGAGAGCTGTTGTCCCCCCAAATTCACATCATGAAGCCTTAACTCCTAAGGTGACCATATTTGAAGATTAGAGCCTTTAAAGGAGATAATTAAGGTTAAATGAGGTTGTAAGGGTGGGGCCCTGATGCACAGGACTGGTGTCCCCATAAGAAGAGAAGAAGACACCAGGAATGCACCACATGCACACACAGCAAGAAGGCAGCTGTCCATGCCAAGCAGAGAGGCCTCAGCAGGAACCAACCCTGCCAACACCTTGACCTTGGACTT